ATTGAGTTGGATCAATGCATTCTAGAAAGAAACTTTTGTCAGCTCAGATTAGATGTTACCTCTAGGATTTCTTGCTAATATATCATAATCCAACTTAAAGTTTTGAATTTCAGAATTTCATTAAGGGTCTTACTCTTTGCCCAAGAAATTTGCTGTAATTTTAGATTATAACTGATATTATAACTGATTTAGATTATAACTGATTATAACTTTAGATTTTAGCTGATATTGGGACTGAAGTGAAAGAAATTATGAAGTTGGAAAAATATAAGACTGGAGAGATAGGTAGCTACAAAGGGTTGGCTTAATATTTAAAATTATTAAATATGTATGCAATATGTAATATACATTTTAATGTTTTGTGCATATATGCATATTTTTTAACAAAAGTAACATTCTAAGATATGTAAATTATTGTAATTCTTAGTTTTATGTCATATCTTTAAATTTTGCCTGCAAAGTTGAATGTTTGCTTGTTTTTGCCTTGTCACATTGGTAAGTTCTTGAAAATATTCAAGAATATGCTGTTAAAAAAAAGGGAGGGGAAGCATTTTTAGACTTCAAAGATCATAAGAGATTCTTTGGCTCATTGTCTAGATGAACTTCACTGTATGTCATCCAAAATGTATGAATATGTTCAAACCTACTGTTGACTCCATCTTACATAAGAAAAGCGTATTTCAAGAAGGGCGTCAACGAGTGCACAGGTGATTTGATGAACTCTCATTGGTTGTGGAGATTTTAAAATCATCCTATAGAGAGTCCCAATAAATGCAAGATCTCACTGATCACTTGTGAAATTCTTTTCATGTGCGGCTAAATCCTCCATCCTCTGGTATTACAAACACTCGCTCATGCCCTATCTTTAGCAGAGGTGTTCTGCCCATGCTTGTGAAAGAACATCTGACACACACGATTTGAAGACATTACATTGCCTCTCAGTATTGTCCTTTCTAGTCCTGTCCTTTAATCTTTCTCAAAGGTCTTATTTTTCAATTCTTTAATCATCTCAGTGTAAAAAAGGGGGGGGGGGACCTAAGTTCCCAAGTTCCATTCCCTCTTTGTCATGCAGAGGCACTGACTAACATGAGCCCTGCAAGTTATCTTCCCTGTTTAAATGGAAACATTGCTGTTGACTCATCATGCCTTTTGGAAACACAACAATAACAAAACATAGCTACAAATATATTTCAAAATAAGATGTAGAGTGTGCAAATAAACCAGAATTATCTTTCCTTTGTATTACTCTAGTTCCATTTTGGGCCCCACTTCATGGAAAAATATAAGCCTTGATTATCCATTTTCACCAAAATAGCATTTACTCAGGCAAGAATATTAACTCAGGTAAGCAAAATGATTGTTCCTTTCATCTCGGCAATTCGACACCTACTCACCTTCCAATTGACTTTTTATAGAATATTAGTTTGCATTAAAAAAATCCATTTAATTGCATTGGAAAAACACTTTGCTGCCAGCTCCAGGCCCATACTATGTTGCAGCTGCTCCTATTTAAGGGATAATTGTAGCCTCACTTTTCTACAAGGACCTAATTCTGATTTTGAAAGGATTTGTCCTCACAGTTTATCCTGATGAGAGAGGACTGGATTATTGCCCTGTAAAATAGCTGAATAGTCCTATTACAGCTATTATGCCACAAATGTTGTATATTGTTGAAGATCAAAGTACTGTACCACACTCAATGGTGAGATGTACAAGCATGGCACACTTCCCATATTATGTAAAAAATACTGCATTTTATGAGTCATTTAGTACCATGTGAGGTATCTATGGACCCGGTATCATTTCCTTCAAACTTTCCCTATCATTCTGAAATCCTTTATTTTCTGGTTGAAAGACTTACAATCTAGTCATTTCTCACTAGTCTCCGCAGGAAATAAACTTTGCTACCCTGTGTTCTTCCATGGCAGGATATTACTTATTGTGTAGCATTCCATGTTACATTTAAATTAGTTCAGAAAAATGTTCAATAATCCTGGACCATTGTAAGTTCTAACTGGTAAATTGACAAAATGTAAATGTTTCTCATTACAACAGTTAATGATGTATTTTTTGAATCTTTAAAATGTGTAGGACACAGTATTGATGAGGTTCTAAGGAAACCAACAGAGCTACTTTCCCTGTCACCTGATTGGGAAGGTAAATGTGAATGAATAATCATGCATATGCCTTAAAATGCAGGATGGCCCATAGGAGGTGCCAAATGAATGGAATTTAAAAAGAATGAGGCTTTCTTCTATACAAAGATTGTATATAACCTATTGATGAAAAACCTGACAGAGGAGGCCAGTAAAAGGACTAGATTTTAACTTAGTTATGCAATGCATTGCGCTTTTACTTTCAGTATTTGACACTTCAAAATCAGTCCCTCTGTGTGTTTCATTCTCACCATCAACCAATACAGGGTTCTTCCCCTGGAAGAAAAACTAATTCCAAAATCTAACAAAAAATGCCCAACTGGAAGTGCCGTTTTTCTGTTGAATGATTTCTATAAGACTCTTAAAAATCACAGGTAGGATAAGCTGTTGAGAGGACACATTCCATATATGTGATTTGGAGACATTACTACAAGATTTAGGATTTACCTACATAATAGAAAGAATCAGTAAACATGAAATGTGGTCAGTGAAAATCACAAATTTGAAAACACAACAATTTATTAAACTGTAATTAAAATGAACATGAGTAATTTTGAGGCAGCAACATCAAATTCTGAGTGTGGCTTATAATTATTGGTTAGGCTAGGCAACATAATTAATAGAGCTAAATGAGATAATGAAATTAAATATAAAAAAAAAATGAGACCAGGTCTAAGACATGGTAGGCATTTCCCGAATTGTAGGTATTGATATTATAACATCAATATTAACAAGGACACATTTTGTTCATGGACACATTTTACTAATTGGAGTATGTGAAGTTCCTAGTTCAGATAAATGAATTTTAACCTGGACCTATACAATAACTCATGCATGTTTATTTAGAGAAACTGGTTAAAATGTCCAAACTCCATAGTTATCCTCGATGTGCCCTTGTGAGGATCAACACAAAATGACAATCCAGCTTATTGAATAAAGTTTAATGCTTTCAATATTTCCTTTGTGCTCCTTTTCTCATTTCTTATTGATCCGTGGCTCTCAATCTTTCCTCATCATTAAAAATCGCAGGCAATTTTTAAAAAATTCCTCTGGTCAGATCCTGCCCTAAATGAATGGAATCAGAATCTACAGGGTACTTTTTCAAATGGCTAAGATGACTCAGCAGACTAGACAGGATTGCAAAAGACTGGTCTAGAAGACTATAAACTCATCTTGAGTAGGAACCATTTTAAGTCATTTGTTTTCATATTCCTAACTTTTACACCATACATAGCATTTTTAGTTTGTGTGGCTTTCTATATCTTTGTATAATAATATATTAATGAGTGAATGGGCAACTAAATGAGTAAACTTAGCTATGATATGGACTTGAATGTCCTATAAATTGAAAAGTAACACAACATCTGTCTACTATTTTAATTCTTAGAATTCACTCAGGGGTTTAACTATTCAACTTTCCCCAAGGTTTTTTTTTTCAATAGAATAAAATATATCCATTCAAAAGGGCATAAGTAGGGCATTAAATTTTATTATTGTTTCAAGTAGTATTGTTATTATTATTATACCATGATGACCTTCATGATCTCCTCTCTGCATAAGTGGAATTAGAAGCTTCTTTTTTTTTTTTTTTTCACCTCCACTGCTCAAATTCCCACCATGCAAGGCACAAAAACATATCCCTTGGACTGCACACTTGTTATAGAGAGGAAACCAGGCCCTTGAGTGTTAAGTAGAGGAACAGCAGGCCCTATGAATTGGAGTTTTCCATCAAATGGAGTGGTGGATATGATGTGCAGAAGACACCATTATCTGCCAGGTGTCAGGATGTTGACAGTGATATTGTTCTAGCCCAGAACCATATTATTTCATCTTCCTGATGTTCACAGGGCCATAAAACAGAAATCAGTTACCAGTCCTAGGAAAATTTTAAAAATCAACTTTCTAAATGATGGAATGTGTTGGTGATGAATGTAGGACTGATGACAGAACCTGAAGCTTTGATACATTCCATTTAAACCATAAAGGGTATATTGTTATTGTGGAAGGAGATACATATAGGCACATTTTAGCATCTATAGTTGAATTTTGAAAGCTGTTGCTTATAAACCATAAAACTCCATATAAATTTTATTATAAAGACCTTTATTAGGAGGAAAACATCATCTTTTTTACCTCTTATTTTGTGCCTCAAAGGGTTTGTGAATGTGGAGAAGACATTTTTTTCCCCTTATTGCTTCATCTTCCCATCCCAACCTCCACCTTGTTAATCTTTATTTATTTATTTGAGAGAGAGAGAGAATTTTTTTTTTCATTTTTTTATTAGTTGCTCAAAACATTACAATGATCTTGACATCATACATTTGATTCAAGTGGGGTATGAATTCTTATTTTTCCACGTGTACAGATTGCAGTATCACATTGGTTTTACAGCCACGTTTATACATACAGCCATATTAGTGTCTATTGTATTCTGCTACCCTTCCTATTCCCCCCTCCCTTCCCTTCCCCTCCCATTACCTCTCTCTACCCACTCTACTATGACACTTTTCTCTCTCTCTCTCTCTCTCTCTCTCTCTCTCTCTCTCTCTCTCTTCCTCACACCATCTTATATGAGAGATAATTTTTTAATATTTATTTATTTTTTTTTAGTTTTCTGTGGACACAACATCTTTATTTTTATATGGTGCTGAGGATCGAACCCAGCGCTCTGCGCATGCCAGGCCAGCGAGCTACCGCTTTGAGCCATATCCCCAGCTCCACCTTGTTAATCTTGAAGGTAGGGGAAATGTTGTAGTTTTGCTATGTCTAAAACCATGATAATAGGAAAAAAGAAAACAATGATTCAGAGGATGGACACAGACTGCAAAGAGAGGACCAAAGACATTAATTTTATCATTTATTATAATGTTTTCATAGTTTTTTCTTGCTTTCCTTTTTGGTCTTTGCTTGAAGAGACATAGCTGGAGAAAAGTTGCACAGAGCAGTTGGCAATCAACATGTCCTGGAAGGGTGTGTGGGGCAGCAAAATGTTCTCAATATTTTCCTTGGCCCCAGAAACAAACAAATGATGAAGAATTTCTGGGCTCCTTTGCAGGGTCTTGTGTTCTTAAAGGAAGGGCTACTCCACCCTGGGAAGATAATTATTGCCCACTACTATTTGAACTTCCAACCCAGGACATCCTACCCCAACACCCAACCCCTGAAAAAGATGTGCTCAACAGTGAGTAGCCAAGAGCCCCCAAACTATCTCAAACACCAGGAGACAGAGTTGCAAGTCTCTGGCTTGGGGACACGAAGCAAGAAAACATAGTTGGTGATATATCCTTATTCCACTTTACCAACTGGAGAAATGGGAAGGCTGACTGCTGGTCCTCCGCAGACTGCCTAGAGCACTATCCGGCTATAAAAAAAGAAGAATCCCATGAGCAACAACTAACAAACCCACAGGTTTTCCCTCTAGCCGGATAGTGTGCTGATAATCGTTTCCTTATTCACCCTTCGAATCACCCCTGTGGTCTTTTGTGAGTCCCCAAAGGCAGCCTCAGCCTTCACAAACCCTCCAGTGGGGTAGAGATAAAAGAGAGGTGCGGGCAGCAGGCGGAGCGAGAAAGAAGAGGAGCCACTTTCATAAGCCCATCTATTCCTAGACAGGAGGGTTCCGATCGGGTCCCTTGGACAGTAGCCCACTCACAACGCGCAAAGGGGTCACGCTCCCTGCGGGTGCATGATCCCCAGGAGCAACGTTGCGCAGAAAAGTCATCCCCACCACGGGCAGGGAGTAGAAGATAGTACAGCAGTGACAGGGGCTGGGACAGTCGCTGAGGGGTAGGTGGGGGGGCGCAGATAAAGGGTGGGGACAGTTGCAGAGTGGTGGCAGAGGGGGAGGTGGAAGAGGGGTGGGGCCGGGGCGGGCTCGGGGGCGGGGCTGCGGGGTGGGGTGCGCCACAGCGCCCCCTCGCTGCGGGATTCCCGCGGTGCCCCGAGGCCGCTAGTGCTCCGGCTCGCCAGCCCCTTTGTGTGAGACGCACTGCCCTGCGGAGCGCGGCTAGTGCACTGCAGCTGCTCCCTGGGGTCCCGCCGCTTCTTCCCGGGCCGGGCAGTACTTTCCTCTTCCTTCTCCTCTGCTCCTCCCTCTTCCAGCCCCCAGTCTCCAGCAGCAGCCATTGGACCCCGAGCAGCCCGCGTCTCGCAGCGCTCACCACCCCGCCCGACCTGGGGTGCTCGCCCCCCCTCCCGTCCGGTCCCCTCTAGATCTCCCCCCTACTCGCCAATCCCGGGCTTCCAAGGTGGAGAAAATAAACTAAAAGCAGAGCAACTCAGAGTCTCCAACAAAACGCCCAGTACCTAGAGCCCGAGCGCGTGTGCCGGTCGGCAAGGGGCGCGGGAGGCGGGGATGGGGGGGCGGGCGGGGGGACAATGAGCGCATGAAGTTACCTGCCCAGCAGCGGCGGCGGCCGAGAGGCGGCGGCGGGGCGGAGAGGCGGCGGTGGAGCAGGCTGCGCGCTCGGCGCCGACGGGTGCGCGCCGCGGCTTGGGGGAGAGTTGAGCGCTTTTCCCCCCTCTTTTTTTTTTTTTTCTTTTTTTTTTTCTCCTCTTCTTCTTAAACAAACCACAAACGGATGTGAGGGAAGGAAGGTGTTTCTTTTACTCCTGAGCCCAGACACCTCTTTCTTTTCCGTCTAAGCTTGTTTTGCTGAGCACTTTTTTTAAAAAAGAAAAAAAAAAAAAAGGAAAAGAAAAGGAGTTGCTTGATGTGAGAGTGAAATGGACGTAAGATTTTATCCACCTCCAGCCCAGCCCGCCGCTGCGCCCGACGCTCCCTGTCTGGGACCTTCTCCCTGCCTGGACCCCTACTATTGCAACAAGGTGAACGCTCTGCTTTTGTTTCCACTGTGTTCTGTGGCTTGATCTCGGGAGGGGGGCGGCTGCGGCGGCTGCGGCTGAGCCGCCTTGGGACGGCTTGCCGGACGGGGCCGGCTTGCTGGAGACCCGTCCCGGGAGCGCTCGGCTTGCAGCCCACTGCAGCCCTGCGTGCGCTAGGATAGTAAATATTGTGGAGCAGCCCCAGGGGTTTGCCAAACACCGCGATTGTGCGGAAAGTGACACGATTTGCTCGGATTCTTTCCTTCCTGCTGTTAGCGATTAGGGATCCATGTTTAGGTTTGCCGGGGCGGCGTTAAAAAAAAATAAGAGGGAAACCACGGAATACTTTGGGGGTGTGTCTGGGGTTTAGGGACGAAGGTAGAGTAAGAGAATTTAGTTTATTTCCTAGTTCTTCCTTCTTCCTCCCTCCCTCTCCTGGGTAGCGGGGGGCTCGTGGCATCGCTTCTCAGCCCGGGATTAGTTGCCAGGGCAGACGCAGGGAGTTGGGGTACAGGAACCCAGGAAGGGTCCCTGCCCCCTACCTTGGAAATTGTTCTACAATTCTTGTTTCCCAAACCGATTCCAGCAGCTAAGCCCCGAATTCGAGTGCTGGCCTGCGCAGATCAAGGTATAGCCGGCTAGCCAGGTCATGATTTGGAGGACAGCTCCCCTTTGCAGGGTGCGCGCGGAAATTGCAAGTTTGTTGGAAGCCGGAGGAGCGCGTTGCGTTCAAGTCCAAAGCTCCCATACTCAGCGTCGGATTGAAAGTAGGGTTCCCGGTTGGGCTGCACGTGCAGCCCACCGACCCTGGGTGCCACGTCCCAGGGGACTCTGACAAGGTGTACCATGCTGGTGACCCGGAATGGGGGCACAGGCCGGGGTTCCTGTGGAGCTCAGCTAAGACCATGGCTAAGTCTGGGGAACGTAGGGAAGGGGTTACTTTCCGGCTGCTCGCACTCTCATCCCGGAGCGGGAGGACGCGCAGGGACCTGACCCCAAGGGGAGCCGAAGAGCCACAGCCTTTTTGGCCCGCGGCTTGTTGGACGTGTCTAAGCAGTCCCGCGGGATGAAGGTTGGCGGGGAGAACTGAGTTCTTTAGACTCCGGGCGGGCCATTGAGACGCCCAATTCTTGCTTGGAGATAAACCCGCCTGATTCTTACAGACCCTGCCGGCACTTATTATATGTAGACCTCCTTCGTGAATTTCAGGAGAAAAATCGTTAGAACTCCCAACATTTGCCTGGTGGCAAATCCTCACCAAAACGGTTTTTAAGGAGATCCAGAGGTGTTTAGCAGGCGGTATTCTCAAACCCTGGGCTCCCCACCATGCGACTGACTCCTGGCTCCGAGTCTTAGTCAATCTGTGACACACACACACACACACACACACACATACAGCTGTGAGTAAAGTGAACCGCAGGCATCACCCTGTGGAGAAGCTCCTCCATGCTGTGTACGGTATAAGACTTATCAAAAGGGCTGTGCTGTTTGTGTGCTGATGTTTAGAAAAGTTAGAAAAGAGGAAAATCTATCTTGTGAAGACAGAGGCTTTACAGTGGGAATCCATTCGCTAAGGGGCAAGTCGAAAGGTATTGGGAACTTTGACAAGTGCAGAGGAGTTTGTGTGATGAAGTTTCATTATTTGCTGGTAACATAGTTCTTTTACTTTGAAATCTGTTTTGCCTTTACAGTTAGGTATTTTATGTTTTATTTTTATTTTGCTTACAATACGAATGATAGTATTAAATAAGAAACAATAAAGTAGCAGTTCTGTCTTGAAGATTAAAGACATATTTGTTCCATAGTAGTTACCAAAACCAAAAGATCAGAACCATTCTGGCAATAAAACTGGACAAATCTTATTAAATTTATCAGTGATTTTAGGCTTCAAAAAGAAGGTAATGACTTGGATACACATTTCACTCCCCATTCTTGTGATAGTAGGGTCAGATTTAATTTAAAAGTTAAATGCTTTGGAAAATCAGGAATTACTTCAATATATTAAATCATTTTCCAATTAAGTGCTTTAAATAATTTTAGTGGGTTGTGCTGTGAATTGAATAAATTAATTTCCAAAGTCTTCAGAATTTCTTTACTAGCTCATTGAAGTTCCTTTTAAGTCACCCTGTGTATAAGAAGCAAACTGTTCTTTTTAAATGCAAATTAGCCATCCTTTCTATAGACTAGTTGCAAGTCTTCTATTTAACTTACCCAGGGAATAATGGATTTTTAAAAATGCAAAGTCATAAGACACATTTCTAATGGTAGGAAAAGACTTCATGGAAATGTTTCTCCAGGGACGCCTTCTCCTGTCCATTCCTGTGTAGCAGTCCATCAGATATATTTGTCACTGACCCCTGATTATATTAAATGTACTGAGTAGGTTTCAAGGCCCTACAAAGCTCAGGCACTTGTGTTTTCTACTCCATCATGATTAACATTGGTATGAAATTTCTTTCTACCTCCACTATTTTGGTTGCTTAGATTTTAGTCATCTAGCATTCTTTTTTCCTTCTTCTTCTTTTTTTTTTTTTGTGATGGCTTAAGTAGATTGGCAGAGATATGGAAGAAAGGCAGAAGTTCAGAAGAGGCAAAGAAAGAAATCAATATCTACATTAAAAAAAAAAGTTGGATCAGACTTACCAATAGAGACAAGACTAGAGACAGGACTGAAAGGTAAACCTTTCGTCTTTCTGAGGTGTAAGGAACATGAAGTTTATTACAAATAATAGTCACTTTGTCAGGTTATTTGTTTTTAATAGGATGATAAGATTATAAATTACTAATTATCTTCATTTTAAACCTGTCAACACTTTACTATTTAAAGTTGGTGTGCTAAATCCCAGTGGAACCAATATCTTTCTGTGCTTTAGTGTTATGCAATTTTAACTATAGTTTCCCAGTGACATTTTTTTTTCCATGTCAGTAGAGACCCTAATCGAGAAAATGAATATCCTCTTCCTGAAGCTTTTCTAAACTAAAATGTGATTGTTTTCCTCCAAAGACACTTTCCAGCACTGTGGCTCTATAGATTGCCAAAACACTACTTACATTTTTCAGTTAATAAACTCTGTAGGAGGCAGTTTTGGAAACAGTTTAATCCAGGGCTCGATTGTAAGAGCACATTACATTATGAATATATCACTATGCAAAGTGGCCTTCATTTTCACATAGCCTACTGCAGGAACAATGCAAGTGATGTTGGTTATAGCAAGTGTACGAGGCATCCCTTATACAAACAGAACTGATGGCATGATGTTGTATATAGGTCAGCCTTTGAAATAGCAGTGTAGCTCAGAGACTGGACGGAATTGTACGTTGGAGGGAACAGTATTCACTTCTTGCAGCTGAAAGCATAGTTATATTTTAGACATTGAAAGATGGGTACCAGAGTGGAATTTCATCTAATTAGACTATTTTAAGTAACATTGTATCCCTTAATTGAACTGAATGTTATCAAAAGAAATTGGATTAAATGAGCTCACAATTGGAGTTCAGTGCTAAAATATAGCCTTATTTTTTGTTCTAGTTGAAGATGTCAAATCATCAGTTTAAATATATACCTACAGAGTAATAACAGCTCCTTTCAGTTTCTTAGTGCAGTGTCATTTCTAAAGATTGTTTTCACTGATTTTATGCTAAAATAGGAAAAAAGATGTGGCACTTTTTCATTTTTACAATGATGTGATATGTTCAGTTATTGCTCAGTATCTGCCCACATAAGGAGCAGTAATACAATTATGTTATGACATGGCTAATGACAGGGATGCTGACCTCGGCCAACAGTGGGAGGAGAAATAATGGGCATTACTGTTTTCAGTGGATGCTTTTGTAGAATCATGTACTGAGTCTTTCTTTGGTGGATTTAAAAGTGAAGAAGTCCAAAACATAAACCCATGTTTAATACTAGTTACATACAAAGTAAAGAATAATAGGCATTTAGCATATTGGGCTTTTGTATTGAGAATGAGAGAGGTCTGTGTATACTCTTTCCATATAAATGCAGGGGGAAGTTCCCATTGTGATAAACTCTGATCTTGAATGTTAGGGCAAACATTAGACATGTGATGACTTTTGAGAAAGACAAGATTGATTATAGTCTCTACAAAATCTCCTTTGAGGTTATTTTTCTATGTGTACTGTATCATACATTGTACTTTAATGTGGCAAAACTCATCACATCTAAAATACAAGCATACCAAGATGGAGTCATGATTCGTATTTTGATTAATAAATGTAAGAAAGAGGAGGAGGGTGGGAGGAGGATGGGAGGAAGGAGGGGAGAAAGGGGAGGGTCTTAGGCAATTTAGAGCATCATGCTTGATTAATTCTCTGTCCTAATTCATAACTTCTAGGACTTTGGGAAATTCATAGTGGATACTTCATACATCATTTGTATAATTAAAACTCCTCTGGGAATTTTATTAGCTGGAAGCTTCCACAAGTTTTGAGGTCTTTAAATATGTTTTAAATGTAGTTGTAAGTAAGAAAGAGCATAAACCAAGAAATCTTATGGCCTTGGCCACTAAATCAGATATGACACAAAAACCTCAAATGTAGCTGTCTTGTGGGATATTTCAGTGTCACAAAATCCAGTTTTAAATGTCTCTACAAAGAAAGTTATAGTTATGAGCTCTGAAGGGATCTGATATTATTTATAA